AAAAAAAAAAAAAAAAAAGGGTAGCAGCTGGTTGTTGAAAAAAGGAAGCAGCACAGCACACGGATGTTCAAAGAGAGTGTGTTATTCCCCCTCTATAAATTGAGGGGGATTTTGATGCAGAAATTACACAACAACAAAAATACAACAACATTTCAAGAGAAAAGAAAGAGAGAGAGAGCTAAAAATAATTAGCCTTTGTGTGTATTTTTGAGTTGTGAATTGTGAGTGGTTTCGAGAGTGTTTTGTAAACACGAGTGTATTTCTTTTTCCCAATAAAATATCTGCAGTAGTCCGGAGACGTAGGCATTATTGGCCGAACTTCGTTATCAATTTGGTGTGTCCAATTTTTCGTTTTTATTTCACTTTTATAGATCCGACTTCATGGAAATTTCAGCGTATTTTTCCCAACACTAACGCCCAGCTGAAACCGAAACCAAGACCCCGACCCACTCCAGGAAGACGAAACTCGACCCACTGCCGGAAGAGCAACAACCTTCAACCCCACACACCACCACCACTCAGGATCCGACCAACACTATTGGCCAGGGTCCGACTGCACCGGTCTCCCGTCCACCCCACACCAGGAAGCCCAGGAACAAGGGGTCAAAAAACAGCCACTCCTCAGCCCTACCCAACCCGCTTTGGATAGCGGGATAAGTTAGGTCCACATCCAAGCCCCGACCCCACACCACCACCTTGTTCCACCTCGAGACCAGGAAGGACGACGACTCGCTACCCCGATCGGCGACCTGCAAATGGCGAAACCCGACCTTCGAGTAGTCGACTTCCTCCACCGGTGCAAGATGAAAAGAGGCTGCACGGAATTAGAGTTTGGGCTGTGCGGCGACAGGCCATCCGCCGACAAAGGGCCCAGTTGCTTGCCGGAGAAGACACACGAGAACCGGAAGTGAGCGGCTAGGGTTTGAAAGGGACGATTTGGGCGATTTTAATTTTTGAGTTGTGTAGCACCTTAAGGCGCGTCAAGTTTCCGCAAGACTAGTTCCCTCTACTATTTCATTTGTATTTACTTCTATTTGTTCAATTTGTGATATATCCTCTTCTCCGTATCAGAATACGTAAGAGCATGCTTGATATAAAAAGTTTAAACATTTGGAAGTGAATTTGTTTACGTGTATTTTGATTTGCAACAATAAAAAAACTCTTGCTTTTTATGGCCAAAATCAGAAGATTAGGTTTCCAGCAAATATTGAAATTTAGTTAAAAGTTAACGTCAAAGTTCAACATTTTCATTTCAAAATATTGATTTTTTTTTTTTTCTTTTAGCTTGAAAATGTGTGAGAAAAGGTTTCATAGCATAATGTGTAAGCGTGGTTTGTGATATGCAATAATTCTATATAATATAATATATTCAGCTCATGCTTGTTCGGTAAACCATATTATAAATCATTTCAATCAACAAGATTGAGTTTACGGAACAATCTCCACATGGCCGCTCATTATTAGTTATTGTGAATATTATTAGAATATTCATTTGTGAGTCTTTAAAAAAAGAGAAAAAAATAATTACGATCCCACACAAATGAAGCGTACCATAATAAGTAGTGAAAACCTAAATGAAGTCCAAATGAGATTTTTATTCCAAAACTAATTGGTGGAAGGAGAAGTAATTCATTAAACTTATAAATTAGACTTATTCTCCCTATATAAACGATATGAGGCAACTCATTAGTGAATATATTAATACGTCCGCTCACTTGTGAGTCCATAATAGAAATTTCAATCCCTACTAGAAACAGACTTCCATAAACGGATACGTGGAGAAAAATGAGTACGTCATCGCACGGTTACAATAGAACCGACTCATACTATGTAAAAAATGCATCAAGCGCACCTGTGCGTGCAATACAAATACCAAGATAACGCATTTGCCATTCTAATTTTATTAATATAGCATTTATTAATTTTAAAAGTGGATTATCTTTAATTTCTCAGCGTGTAATTGGAGATATAAAGTTATATTTTTAAAAAAGGGTAAATAATAATTTGCAACCTGTACTATACGCGAATTTGGAGTTTGCAACCTAAAGAATTTTTTGTACTAAATTGCAACCTTTAATACACTATATCGCAACCTCGGGCCATCAGCGGCCCATTTTCCACAAAAAATCGAGCGTGTGTAACACGCGCACCAAATTTAAGGTCAAAAATGTCTTTTATATCTCTTTCTCCTCCTTTCATCCTCTTTCTTTCACAGCGGCAAGCTTGTTTTGCAAAAATTATTTTCCACCAACGACGGTCCTTAGACGACGACGCGGACGATTCTCCCAGGCGGCGCGCCGAGCGTCGCGGCGGCGATGTGCTTGAACGCGAGGGCGAGGAGTGAAGGTCCGGCCAGGACGGCGACGTTTTCGCCGTAGACCACGTGGCTAGAGGGCTTCCCTCGCCGTAGATCGTCGTTGTCCATGCTGGGCAGGTCGTCGTGGATCAGGGACATGGCGTGGTTCATCTCGAGAGCGCAGGCCGTGGGCATTGCCGCCGACTCATCACCGCCGACGAGGTGGCAGGCGGCATGGCAAACGATCGGGCAGATGCGTTTGCCGCCGGAGAGCAGGGAGTATGGCTTCAGGATCTTGATGGGGTTTCTAATGGGGACTGCGGAATCTAAGACCCGGTTTACTATTCTGATCTTTTGGAGCGTATATGATTTGAAATCGAATTGGTTTTTAGGGTTTGTTGATTCTTGGGTTTCTTTGTTTGGGGCATTTTCTACCTCTTGGTGAT